TCTGTTGCCCAAGCAAGAAATTTACCGTCTTCAGATCAACTAAAATAGACATCTTGTGTTCATGACAGCAAAGCTTCTGCAATACCACTTCGATATTTTCGTATTCTTCTTTAAATTTTGTTGAGTGAGGTATTGGAAGAGTTGCATATTAGTTACCATTGTGCAATAAGACACACTTCAAGCTTCTAATGGAGCTTTCTTTAAACAGCCACCAATCTCCTAGTCAATATTCAAGTCCCATTCTAAGAGGAAGTCCAAGGATGTTATTGCAGTATACGAGTTCTTCATCTTGGCTGAAGTTAGGAAGTTGTATCTCTCATGTTCCATAAGATGTTATTTTAACTTCTTCTTGTCGACATTTTTTTTTCTTTTAGTCTGGATGCTAAAAGCTGAGATGCTTTCTTTGACAGAGAGATCACGTATCAGATCATTGAGTTTTTCTTGGAAGAACTACTGAAGTATTGAAATGCTTAGTTTATGTTCACTGCTACTGCTGTCACCTGTGTTACATCCTAAACCCTGAGTTTCTTCAACATCTGACAATGGAAGGTCAGGCAGTGTTGTAAACACTGGTATGGGAATGTCTTCACTGTGTGGCACAGTGATCCTTGCTGACTCCAAGTCAGGATATTTCCTCTTGACTCGGTTGAAACCTTTCAAATTCACCATACATAAGTAACAATGGTCGTGGTGGTTTTCGGTTCTCTCCACACTATAGACACACCCAAGTTTAAATTTTTCCTTTGCTTATTTTCCAGCTGTCATCATCATTCTACACAAGTTATACAAAGAGCATGTTCAGCGCGAGACTTGTATTGTCCTTCAAGCGCCACTCCAAAATAAGCAAGAAAAGCTTATTTTACAAAATCTGTGATATTTTCTTTGTTTTTGCAAAGAGTATTCGCCACAAATGTAGCAAAATGCATTGGGACTGGTTAAGCAGACTCTTCGTGAAGAACTAATGTTTCTCTGGAAAAAATAAAATAAAGGTTACAATATTGTTACGTGATCATTGTTGATACAACGACATTTGTTAAATATTAAATGATTTGAAAATAAAATTCTAATCTTTATTAAAACTTCCTGCATATATAAACTGTCACTACATATACATACGTTATGGCTGTTTCCTGTTACTTGAAGGTAGGTTTACAATATCCCAAAAACTAGAGATAATATGAAAAACCTGCAGTCATTTTCGGGTTCAACAACCCTAATATACACTAAATACCTTCAAATATCTTTGACAACGAAATTTTTTGTTGTTGACCATTGTAACAGAACAGCAGAAGGTTTATAATACTGAGATATTACCTCACATATGACCTCACACCCGACCCAGTATGATGATGATACAAATGTGGTGTCAGACGTAACATATGAAGGACCTGTCACACACACCCTAAGTTCCTCACAAAACCTTTTAATTATAAATGAATCTAATTTATATAACCATGAACTAATACTCATATTAAAATCAATACTACTTATTTATGAAACTTGATTCAATTATATTTCTCTCAACCACAGAACTGCTTAATACAACATTATCGGCCTTTTAAAAATCACTTGGGTGGTTAAAATCTCTAACATGAATAAACCGAGCATTAAACTTATGACCAGTTCTCTTGTTATATTTATCTTGTTGTAATCTACGTTTAAGGCTTTTTCCAGTTTAACTGTACTGTACTTTATTATACTTTTTACAGAAAATTTTGAAGACACATCACGGTATTGATCTTAATATGAATATTAGTTCAAGGTTATATAAATTGAATTCATTTATAATTAATAGAATTTTTGTTGAATTTAAGGTATATGTGATATGTTCTTCATAAATAACACTTGACAGGTATCTTGACATTCCCACAGCATCATACTGGCTCAGTTGTAACTTCCTATGTAACGTGATATACAAGCCCATATACATGTATATATATATATATTATATATATATATATATATATATATATATATATATTTTATATATATATATATATATATATAAAGTTTTTACCTGATTCGGCAAGAAGAGCGTTGCTATCTGACAGTTTCCCTGTTGTCCGTTGCAATCTTCAGTGTAAAACTCTTTGTAAAAAGAGAGAGAATGTGAGTGAGTGAATGAGTAAGTGAGAGAGAGAGAGAGAGAGAGGAAGAGAGAGAGAGAGACGACGATCTTACATATCATGGAACAACCAGAAACCTGTGTGAACAAAACAGCATCACCTTCCTCATTAAACCAAACATAAACCTTTGACTCTAATATATTGTTCCTAACATCACTTCAAGGTTTATTATTTATGATAAAACAATTCTTGCTACCCGGTTTATATAAACTTAATACATCTTAAGTTCTTACAGCAGCGAGTGTACACAGTGATATTAGTCTATAGTGATAATATTTGTACTAAAGGAAAACTTTTAAATACATGAACAAAGGTTATCCAGCCAGGGTGAATGTTGTTCATGACACTGTCCAGCCAGGGTGAATGTTGTTCATGACACTGTCCAGTCAGGGTGAATGTTGTTCATGACACTGTCCAGCCAGGGTGAATGTTGTTCATGACACTGTCCAGCCAGGGTGAATGTTGTTCATGACACTGTCCAGCCAGGGTGAATGTTGTTCATGACACTGTCCAGCCAGGGTGAATGTTGTTCATGACACTGTCCAGCCAGGGTGAATGTTGTTCATGACACTGTCCAGCCAGGGTGAAGTTGTTCATGACATGCCCGGGGGAAAATTGTTCAAACCCCCCCAAAAAATTTTTCC